GTCTGTTAATAGTATTTTCACTGAATGTCGGCAGGTAATCAATGAGTTAAAACAGAGGAAGAGGAGTTTGAAGGGCAGAGAAAGCCGAAGGCTAGAAACACACACACTCACACCCTTACAGTGAAATGTCTTAATCTGTGAAGAACCGCTTCATTTAAGCAGTAACGCATGAGAGATTGTGAACTAAACTTGTTGTGGCTAAAGTATATAATAACACACAACTTTATGGATCGTCGTCCTTCCTCTAGAAGAATCCGTGGAGATGCAGGAGAGGAAAATATGATGAAGTGTATGTAAAACAGGCTTTTGTTGTGCAGCAGATTTACGGAGGCGTTTGAGATTCTGTTTGTATGGAAATGCTGCTTCGCTCCTAACGGCGAGGTTGAGCTGCTGTTAGCGCAGGATTAGACCCTTGTTTATATCCAGCTTTAACTCACGCATGTGATTAGAAACTTTCAATCGCAGTATTTTCCCCAAACGCCCAGAGAAACAGTCTGATTTGAGTTTTTTAAAGCAAGCAGGAGTTTATTAGTGCCGCAGGTTTAGTCAGTCGTCAGTAGTGCTTTTTAATGTTTCTGAAGAAGTCTCTTCTGCTCAGCAAGGCTGCATTTATTTGATTAAAAATACAGTAAAAATGTGAAATATTTTTACTATTTCAAACAGCTGTTTTCTACGTGAATATCTGTTAAACTGTAATATTATAAATAATATATATGGATGCTCCTTCACCGGCATCATCCTAATCAAACCGCTCGCTTTCAGAACGAATGTCTCGACGACTGAGAGATTCACATCTGATTGGTTTACCGCGAGCGTATTGTCCAAAGCATCTCATTGCTTCAGAGATTCAAGCTGCTTTGTATGGAATCCGCCAGCTAATGCTTTGTGCAAAACGGCTCCGATATGTCACATTATAATGCCTATTATCTCAGGCTTGTTAAAGATGAACCACAATCTGTTTCCTTCAGAAAAACGGATGGCAGTTCAACTCTAACAAGCGTTTTTGCAGGAGCGCCTGAATACTGTAGATGTGCGGCGTCTCATTAGTGTCTTGTTAAGCGTGTGTTTGAGTGAGACGTAATTGAGAGGCTCCACAAAGAGCTTCATTTGAGCCGAACGGCCTGTGTTTGAGTGATTAATGCGTCCCGTCTCGGAGTCTGTTCAGCTCTCACCTCCAGTGTTTCTTACAAGCCGCTGATTAAAAGGTGTTTCCAGAGCCGTGTTTTAATCTGCAGCCACACACGTGCCCAATCACATGATCTTCAGAAATCAGTATAATATGCTGATTTGCTGCTCAAGAAACATTTCTGATTATTATCAATGTTCATTTTTATATTTTCCGTTTTAATTTTTATTTTAAAGATTTTTTTTTTACATCTATATACTTTTTATACATTTTTATTTCATGTGTTTTAGTTTTAGTTATCTTTAGTGCATCAATTCAAACTAAATGAAAATGAGAAATTATGTTTTTTATTATTTTATTTTAATTGAAGTTTCTTTTATTTTAAATAACAATTTTTTTTCTTGTGGTTTTATTCTTAGTTAACTATAATAAATCATATATATTATTTTTGAGATGATATAAGCGGCTTGTTAAAGATGAACCACAATCTGTTTCCTTCAGAAAAACGGATGGCAGTTCAACTCTAACAAGCGTTTTTGCAGGAGCGCCTGAATACTGTAGATGTGCGGCGTCTCATTAGTGTCTTGTTAAGCGTGTGTTTGAGTGAGACGTAATTGAGAGGCTCCACAAAGAGCTTCATTTGAGCCGAACGGCCTGTGTTTGAGTGATTAATGCGTCCCGTCTCGGAGTCTGTTCAGCTCTCACCTCCAGTGTTTCTTACAAGCCGCTGATTAAAAGGTGTTTCCAGAGCCGTGTTTTAATCTGCAGCCACACACGTGCCCAATAAAGATCAGCCTTCGCTTCGTTTCCCTCGCAGACTGTGCTCTGCGTCGTGCTCTACTAAAACACACGGTTGATTCTGCGTTTGACGTACGCAGCTTCAGCATGACAGACTTTCTGAGGGTCTTAAAGTCTTATTTCACCCGTGCACAATTTAAAGCCTTAATGCATGAGACAGATATGCATTGAATGTCTCTCTTCCTCAGTTTTTCTGTTTTGTTTTTCAGTACGAATATCTAAAGACACATTTACTGGAGATGCACAATGACCACATGAAGTCTTGTTTTCTGAGAAATTGAACAAAATGAAGTGAGTTTGTGCTTAAAACAAGAACAAATATCAATATAAATATTAAATAAATCAAGTAGATTTTTCTGAACCCTCTGACTTTTTAGTAAATGCGTCTTAATTTAACCCTCTGTTGCTCTGCAGTCATTTTTGACCGAAAAATCTTGTCATTTTTTTTTTTTTTTTTTTTTTTGGAATGGTCTGA